ATATATATATATATATATATATATACTACTTACTCATTCACATTCTAATATATATATGTATATTATATACAATACATATTTGTACACATTTCACCAACACAATTTGTTTCAAGGCGCCTTGCACCCGAATTTGGAATGTATTTGGTTTTTGTTTTTTTTTTCCATGTTCACACGAACCGTAGCTGCCGCCGAGGAGGCCTGAGGTAAGAAAAACACGCACACCTATATTTTTTCTTCCTCTTTTTTTCTCTTACTATTTTTTTTTTTTTTCTTCATATTTCCACTCACCATATATAGTTAACTTATATATCCAATCAGTGGTTTTCTTAATATGTAATTTAATTAAAAAAAAAAGAAAAAAGATATACATATATATATTTAAAAAATTAATTAACCAGTTAAATGCAATTTGCAATTTGCTATTTAATCAGTTAACTGTGATGATACAAATCCCTCTTTGAAAATTGTATATCCAAATTGTGGTGCAAAAATGCAACATTAATTTTTTTAATGTTTAATTCAATTAAAGATAACAAAAAAATAAATAAATTAAAGAATAAATTAACCAATTAAATGCAATTTGCAATTTGCTATTTAACCAGTTAACTGTGGTGATGATACAAACTCCTCTTTTAAAATTGTCTATCCAAATTGTGTTGCAAAAATGCAACATTAATTTTTTTAATATTTAATTCAATTAAAGATAAAAAAAAAATAAATAAATTAAAGAATAAATTAACCAATTAAATGCAATTTGCAATTTGCTATTTAACCAGTTAACTGTGGTGATGATACAAACCCCTCTTTTAAAATTGTCTATCCAAATTGCGTTGCAAACATGCAAAATTAATATAAAATATGTACATATTTATATGTGTACATATTACCTATTACCATTTTTCTAACATTTATATTCATAAATGACAGTTAACTGTTTAATAATTATATAAATACAATATAATATTAATACAAATATAAATACACTGATTGGTTATTAATTTTCCTGTATATGCACTAACTGTCTTTACTCAATACTTCAATATATATATATACATATATAAATATACATATTATCTATCTATCGCTTGAGCACAGCAGCATTGTACTATTATACTTTACGCTTCACTCCAATCATTTTGACTGGATTTAAAAGCAAACTAATAAAACGAGTAAAATAATCGTACAATGTTCACAAGGCAAAACAAACAACACGTTCGTTGGTGTTTCGAGAATCGTCTTCGTCGTCGGCAGTGTCTCTCTCTCTCTCTCTCTCCCTCTCTCTCTCATTATGGAAAAGGGGTGGGAAAATGACCAAAAACGCTTTACGTGCGTGTGGTTTCTAATTAATAATAATAATAATAATAATAATAATAATAATAATAATAATAATAATAATAATAATAATAATGAAAAGACAAAAAGTATGATTGTAAATACGTTCAAACGTTGTCGCTTTTTTAATCTAACGTTATATGTCATTAAATAGAAAAAAAAAAAAAGGATTATATTTAATTCGAGTAACAAAAAATGGTCAAGCTTTTATTCTAACAATTATTATTATCATCATCAGGATCTTATTTTCAGAATTGAAATCATTTTGCTTATGATCATTATTACCTTCACTTTGTGTAAATAAAAAAAGAAAAAAAAAATTGGAGTGTTCGCGAAACTCATGCTTTTATTTCTCTCATTCTGTCTCTCTTTCTCTCTCTCTTTCTATCTCTTTCTATTTCTCTTTCTCTTTCTCTCTCTCTCTCTCTCTCTCTCTGTCTGTGTGTGTTTCTAAACGCGCAGTGTACTCTTTTATTCCCAACAATTTTGTTCTGCGACCATTTTCTGCCTATTTTCTTCCGGCTTGGTGGTTTTGGCTGGTTGGGTGGCTTTTAGTATATCCTTTATCTCGGAGGTGTCTCGGAACAGTGACTAACGGGGTTGTGCGTGTGTGCGTGTGGGTGGTAGGACTTGGACATGCTGGCCGCTCAACTCAACGAGCTTGGTGTGTCACAGGGCCCCGAGGCCCCGCCTAGGCCCAACAGACAACATAAAGGCCCACCGGCTACGTCAACGTCTAATTCAGTTCAACCAGCGAGCGCTAATGATCAAAACAACAAACAGATGCAACAATCTTCCAGTATACTAGATCAAGTAAGCCTTTCCTAATTCGCGTGATCAACAGTTATGATGATGATGATGATCATCATCATCATCATCATCATCATCATCATCATCATCATCATAATCATCATTATGATATGATAATGATAATGATAATAACAACGATGTGTATTATATATATATATATTTGGGTATATTATATTTATACATTTTTTCTATGTTCCCCTATATTTGATTCCCCTTTTTGAATATTTTTACTCATTACTATCTTCTTCTCTTTACAAATCACACCCCCCCCCCTCAACCTACATGTATATTTCCTATATCTTTACTATTACTATTACTAGTACTAYTATTACTCGCTTTATTATCGTTGACCTCATCCTCTTCATGCTAGAGTATTTTACAGCGTCTTGTGCCTTGTACAAAAAACAAAAAAGAAATAAAAAAAAAAAAGAGAGAAGAGAAAAAAGGTAAAAGAAAAGAATGTTAACGAGACGTGCTTATGAAAAAGAAAAGATTCCTCTTAGAAATGACTATGATATTGAGAATTAAAGTATTATTATTTTTGTATAATTTCAGGCACTGTCGATTGAGAGTGACAGCGACGACGATCTTGAAGATGCTGGTAGTAACAATCTAAGGAACGATGGTACACTTCTTGCTAGCGATCCACCTAAACCTCTGTAAGTAGGATATGTTAATTTATAGAACATTATAACTCTTATAGCTCATAAAATAATTATTACCTAACTGGGTCATGTTCACGTTCGTTTCTAAAAAAAAGGAAGGAAAAAGAAAGAAGGAAAAGAGAAGAGAAGAAAAGAAAGAAAAAGAAACATGAAAGTTATGATAGAGAGAGGGGATAAGTGGTAGGAGGGGTTGGATTCGTATCATTAACGTCAAGTGGTAGAATAATTATTATGACTGTAATGAAATTGTCAATTTTACCAGGTGTGTGGTTGTGTGTGTGTGTGTTTCTTTTTCTTTTTTTCTTTTCTCTAATCTACTTTGTTTTATTTTTTCAAATGAAAATTAATATTATTTATATTTCGTTTCATCTTTCATCATGTGTGTACGCCAATCATCATCATCATCATCATCACCATCATCGTCATCATCGTCATCATCGTTATCACCATAATGCAACCCCCGCCCGCCCGTCCGTGTGCTTCTCTTCTTCGACATACGCTTTTATATGGGGGTGTGCCGTTAATCGTCGGGGACTCTTCTTCTTTCATGGTCTCTCTCACAACAATTATTCCTCCCCAACGCATATCATCGAATATATACGTCATCGAACAAAAACCGCAACCACCATCAACAACCACCACCACCACCACCAACCACCCCATCGTTATGTTTAACATCGATCTCTACGGTACGGCACGTCTGATTTACCTGCGGCAGTCCCGAATTTTCTCCTTTCAGGCCATCCTCGGATTCATCGTCGTCATCCTCGCACAATGCTCAGAATTCCCATCACGAAGGTAAGCCAAAAGGTAGGACATCGTCGATTAAACTATTATTTCATAATTTATAATTTTTAATTTTTAATTTTCTTGTTTTCTTCTTCTAATGTTTATTTAATTTTTACTAAATTTACGAGACAAATTGATAATAAGATACGTTTTTTTATATCTTTTGCTGGAAATTGGAAAGTTGTATTTTTATTTATAATAATAATTAATAAAAATAAAATATATAATATATTTATGTAAATATAATTGTAATATTAATGTTTACATAAATAAATTATATATTATTATAATATATTAATATTTTATATTTTATATATATATATATTTATATTATAATATTAATAAATTATATATATATATATATATATATATTATATTTATGTAAATATAATTTACATAAATGTATAAATTTATAAAAAATTTTACATTGAAAATATTTAATTTTAAAATAAAAAATATAACTAATTTATTTTTAATTATATAAAATATTTCAACAAAAATTTTATCATATAAAATATAAATATATATAATGAATTTTAAAATATACAAATTGTCTATCTTGTTAATTAATTTCAGACACTTGTCGATTGATTAATTTAAATAATAAAACAAAATCATATTAATTTATTTCAATTACGATAAATATTTAAGCTCGTTAATAAACACAAGTATACTTATTTAGAATTCAATTTTGAAATATATGAAAGAATATCAATTAGAAAATAATTGTTAATATTAATGTATATATTTGTTTTAATTTGTATTTAAAACTTTTTCTAGGTGGTGCACCAAATCGACCATTACCACCAACGCCAGATGAGGAAGAATCCGGTGATCGTACACTAGTCATGAAACGAGTGAGTACAATTTTTTCAAGTCAATTGTGCAAGCTAACAAAATACCACCCTTTACGTAGCCTATACATACATACATATATATATATATATATATATATATATATATATCGATCTATGGACAGAGCTACTAATAATAATTATAACGGTACAAATTATTAATATGTTAATATGTACATTGAGTGTATGTGGAACCTATACATTTGTTCTATGTAATATCACGTTTTTTGGTAGATTGCGCAAACCGTTCGCGATCTTTTTTTTTCGTACGAACGAAATCCCCATAGATACGTTTAAAACTCGTTTTCTTTTAAAATAACCATAACAATGATTAAATTATACAAATTGTTCTATTTTTCCATATCAGTAGTATTAAGGAAGTAAAAACAAAATCAAATACAAAATCAAATATAACAATCCTGTAAATGTTTATGCAATTTCGTACAATGCGACAACGCATTTTTTTTTTTTTTTTTTTTTTTTTTTCTAACAAAAATTATCATCATTGATTCATCGTAATTTCAATATCTTATCTTACGTTAATATTTTACATTTAATAAATAATCAAACACAAAGTCTTCCTTTTTCCTTCGTACGAGAGAAAAGAAACAAAAAAAAAAAAAAAACCGAACGGACGAATTGCGTGGTGGCTCATACGTTTTTTATTTTAATTTTTTTTTTTTTTATTTTCTTGTTCTTTCTGCACCTATCTCGTACATTGACTGATATCCGGAACTAATTCAATGGTGTATCTATATATATATATGATCGTTCGCTGAATCAACCCCTTCAGCCATATGTTCATGATCAATGACTCGCCGTGACTGAAAACCTTGTACGTTGAAAGAAAAAAAAAATTACTGTGGTGCATTGCCTTGTGTCTGTACTTTTGTCGCTGTCGTACGGTATCCACCCTCAACACCTCACCCCCACACCCCCACCCCAACCACTCTATCTCTCTTCACCCTGCACCAATCATACACGATCGATAAATACATTTCACCATCGTAGACTATGCTGCACCGATGGTGGAGACTTCCCTTAATCAACCTAAACACGCGAATGCTTTCTTTAATACATCCTACACACGTACACACATATATAAATATGTATATATAAATATATATACATATATATATATAAACACAGGGAGAGGTTAATAATACGATCAAAGACTATTTCACGCTAATCTTTTGGGTCTTTATGGGTTTATTATCTTTGTTTCTTTTTTTCTTAAAGTAGAAGATAAAGTGTGTTGTATACGTAAAGTAGATGATAAAGAAAGAACGAAAGTAAGAAAGAAAGAGAAAGAAGGAAGGAAAGAAAGAAAGAAAGAGAGGAGAGAGAGAGAGAGAGAAAGAGAGAGAGGGAGAGATAGATAAAGAAAGAAAGGAAGGAGTAAAAGAAAGGATTAAGAAGTTCAATTGAGAACTTCACCACCGGTTAGCAAGTATAGTCGGTCCTTTCAGTAAAATGTCGTTTACATATATCCACCCACCACTACCACTACCACTCAAAAAAAAAAAAAATCTCCAGCACAATCTCTTCTCACCTATCACATTGTTATTATCGCACGTATCTTTTTTTCTTGTTTTTTTTTTCTCTGTCATCGTACCATTACCCTCGTCGCCGTGCGCGCCTTTAGAAACTTAGTCAGACATCAGACGATCGTGCAACGGCTAGCGACAACCGCCGCTCAGAGATAGACGAGCAGCTCCTTCTGAAGGAGTGGGACTTCACCCGCTTCTTTCAGGGTTTTAACGAAAGGTTGGATAAAATGAAACAGGAGCAGCACCAGCAGCAAGATGCTGCGACATTGGCGGCGGCATCGGCTACGGCGACGGTGACAACGGCGGTTGGTTCGAGCAAATCCGGGAGCGATGAACGTTCCTCTTCTTCTGGTGAAAGAACGCTTAAGAGGCAGGAGCAGTTAGCACGTAGGAAATACGAGCACCATCACCAACAACAACAACAACACCACCAGCAGCAGCAGCAGCACCATCATCACCAGCAGCAGCAGCATCATCTTCATCAACAACATCAAAAACAGCAACAACAACAACAACAACAACAGCAGCAACAGCTTAAAGCTGTTCACAGACGACAAGAAAGCGACTCGAAAGTTGGTAACACGTCGAGCGCGTTCGCCCGCGCATTTCGTCGTGAAAATTCCGATTTTTTTCCATCAACGAGGCACTCCGCTTATCTACAAAAATCGGATTCCTCAAGGTCTAGCATATTCGCGAGCGGTAATCGACGTGGCAGCGAGATAAGCGTAGCAGGAATAGTCGGTAAGAAGGGTAACGGACTTAATACCGGTGAGCCCGTTCTCACTGACTTCTCCTTTGGACGTGACGGGCCCCAAAGGCCTAGGAGAGAAAAAACAGAGAGCGAAATCGTCTTCGGTAACAGGCACGAGGCGAGGAGACTCGACTTCGGGCGCAATAAAGACGATACTACAAGGAGACGCAGTTGTAGACCTTCAGATGCGGCCCTGGCCGTGTCGGATGACGCCGGAACGATTAAATCCACGGCCAGTACAACGGCTAGCGAGTACAGCCCTGTTGTCACCCAGGTCAGTCCCACCTGCGAGTCCTGCCTGTGTGCTTGCCTGAACTCTTCTACCAAAACCACCACCCCCCATTATATTCCAAAGTCAATTCGACCCTTCCGATATAATAACCATCACCCTCATTTTCTTCTTATTCATCGTCATATTTTTCCCTTTCAACAAATTGACCTTATAACCCTCCTCCTTGACCTTCGTATACTGTTACTACTACTGTTATTACTGTTACTACTATTACTATTATTACTGTCCTTAACCCTTTCCGGTGTCTATCGATATTCGATTTATACGTATTTATATACCTTCCCTTCGTTTGGTAGTTAATTTTTTAATCATTTTTTATCATATTTCAACGCCATCTTCATTTATATAAATATTGTAATTACAATAACGAAGTTTATATTTTTATTGTTATCTCCCCTTTGAGTATTGTCGATCGATTCGATCATCAATTCGAACAACTCTATCGTACCCCTTTTTTTTTTTTTACTATTAGGTGCATCTTGATCATTTCTATCTTTTATTTTAATAACATATATTATTTATTTGAAGTAAAGGATAAGGCTTGGATAATTATTAAACGCATATAGTTGTTGCAATTTAGAAATAAATGTTTAGAATATTATTTAGGATTAATTCGAGACGATTATTGATAGACACCATAATTCCGCATTGACAAAATCATTCCTTTTATTATTTATTTTTTTTTTTTTTAATACATTTTTCACTTAATTTATTTATAATTTCCATTATCCAAAATCCCAATGGCATATTATTATTATAACGTTCACCATAGAAGGCTAGTCAGCTACCGCTCGAGTTTTAGGCGCATACTACTACTACTACTACTACTACTACTACTACTATTATTATTACTTATTATTTATTATTATTAATATTATTACTATTATTATTATTATATAATTCCTATGTACTACCAACCCCTTACCCTAACTCTGATCCCATTATATATAAATATCATCAAAGTTGATTTTTTCACAGTTTTGGATACAAGTAGCAGCGAGATATACTATATATATAATTAATATTAGTGCTACCAGTGCTATTAACTATTAATACCAGTATTATATCATCTAACTATCGCTACTACCTTCTCTATTTAAAATATCAGTAGATTTTCTATGATAATTCATTTTAAGATTCTTCAACGAATCTTTGAAGAGTAATTATAGATATTTTATAACGATTATGTTATTCAATTAATAACTATTGTCATTAACTAATAATACTACTACCACCATCACCATCACCATCATTACTAAATACTATTACTATTATTATCACTATTACTATTAACTAATATTTCCAATTTTTCTTATTCTTTTCTTCTTTCATTTTTTGTTATCTTCTTTTCTACGATCTATATTTACTTACACTACAATATTGCTTAGGAGAAGGGAAGTCTTACGCTGCTAATACTATTCCTAAACATCCCCTCCCCCCTTTTCTCCCCCCCCCATGCTTATTCATTGATCTTTGTGAAAAAGAAAAAAAAAAAGTATCAAAGAAACCATACGAATTTTTTATTTTAAAGTATGAGCACCGAATTATAAATTAATTATTTATTACAGTCATTTAATTATGACGATTTATGGTATTTATGATTCTTAAGAATCTTTTTTAATTTTATTTACAAAAAAAAAAAATAAGAAATTATTTAATTTAATATTATTTTTTTTTTATTGTTAAATTGAAAAAAAAAATTTATTAAATTTTAAAATATTAATTAAAACCTTTAAATTATATTATATCGTCTATTTAAATGTCATAATTTATATATATATATTTAACTTAAATTAAATTAAATTTTTATATATATATATATTATTATATTATTAAATAATATTAAATATTAAAATATGAAAAAATAAAATATTAAATTAAATTAAATTAAATTTTTATGTATATTAAATTTTATATATATTTAAATTAATTTTATAAAAAAAAAAAAAAAAAAAACACACAAAAGGTGCATTCACAAAAAACAATCCAATCCGCTTTTACAATAATCCTATTTTTATTTTTATTTTTTGGATCCTTTTCGATTTTAAATTTGACCAATTCAATTTCCTAATTTCGAATGTGTTAAAAAAATTTTTTTAAAACAAACGAAATAAAATAAAGATGGTACGTTTAAAACCGTGCACCAAAACCACCACCGAGTCCTTTCTTCAGTGACGTTTGTTACGTGACTACTTACTACTACTATCATTCCCCTTGTTGTAAGTGCCTGGACGCAGGATTAACAGCATGGAATTTGTCTTGAGGGCTAGGGGAGGGTTATGGGAAAATATTTGATTCGTCTCGTCTCTTCAGATCAAAACCATACATGGGTTATACTTTGAACAAATTCAGAGATTATGTGGTACAATGCTTTCATCGCTACTACTGCAAACAACAAAAACTACCCTCATCGCAACGACACGTCGCGGGATTGGTTTTTGGGGGATACAAAAATTATTGCTATAAACATAAAAAAATAAAAATATAAAAAATTGCATATAATATTTATCATCATTTAAAAATAAATTTATACGTTATTGTTACGTATATATTTGTTTTTTAAATAATAATACTGTTCGTTTTTCGTTTAATATTTTTTAACGTTGCAAATTTAATTTAATTTAATTTAATTTAATTTAATTTAATTTAATTTAATTTAATTTAATTTAATTTAATTTAATTTTATTTAATAATAAAATTTGATTATTAAATTTGAAATTTGTTATCACAATTAATTAAATTAAAACAAAATGTATTATTTTAAATAATTAATATTAATATTAATTGTATAATAAATATTAATATAATACAATATAATATTAATTTATTATAATTAAAAAATTTTTAATTACAATAATTTAATATAATAATTAATATACATTTATTATAAATATAATAAATACTAATTTAATTATTTAAAATGAATAATATTGCAATATTATTTAAAATTATTAACAAATAAATTATTTTAATTTGATTAATTTAATACAAATTTCTTAACATTGATTTCTTTCATCCTTTTTTTTTGTTTTTTTTTTGTTTTTTTTTTTTTTTTAAATTAAATCACTAAGATCAATGAAATTGATAATTTAAAATCATCAAAAAATAATTTAAACACATTACATGTATCTCATTCTTTTTAATTTTCTTAATTTTTATTTTAAGTTTCTTTTTATTATCTTTAATACTATAATATAATTAATAACAAAATATGTATTTAATAATGAAGATAAATTTTTGCAACGTTAAAATAATGCTTCGGTTGTAGTAATTTTACAAAGGTTTCGAATGGAGGAATAATTTTACAAAACTTATCGAGAGAAATTTCAGAAAAAAAAAAAAAAAATAAAAGAAAAGAAACAAACAAACTAACAAATATTTTAAGGCTTGTAATTAATTGTGCTTATTATTATTCGACAAATCGTCGTCATCTTCGTCATCGTCGTCGTCGTCGTCGTCGTCCTCGTCGTCTCTTGGCTGTATGGGTTTAATTACTTAATTAATTAATTAATTAATTAATAATTAATATTTCTGTGACTAACTGTGATAATGACGTTCTTTTTTATTTACACTTCGATTAATAATCGCTCAAATTGTTTGTTTATATTTTAACAAGATCCAGACCATAATAATTAATATTGTTTTTCAATCAAAATTATTTGATCAATATGTTTAAATCGTATATAAATAATATTTGTTCAATAATTATTCATTTAATTTAAATATTAATAGACGAAATTGTAAATAATTTCAATGTGTATTTCAATTAATATTAATTGGTCTTGATCTTGTTATAAAAATATTCTTCGAGCTGCTATACAATAACAATTTACTAACAAAATGCAAAAACAAATTTATATATATATATAATAACTAAATATTAATCGTATATTTAAATATTTTATATAATAGAATTCGACGATCTTCAAAGATATAC